ATACATGTTTGTAATACATCAGTAGTTATAGCTTTTAAAAGAGTTTGTGAAAGTGATGCTAGATTTAACAGAAATGGTACAGTAGCCAATTTTTGGTTCTTTGTATCCTCATCAATATTTACATCTTCTTTCAAACTCCCCTGGAAATATTGCTCTTATTATTTTTATTATCATTAATATTATTATTAAATATATTAAAAAAAAAAAAATGTCAGTTGATATTATAGAATTTAGTACAGTTTTTACTTTGAATAAATCTAATAATGCTGCTGTAATATCTTGAAAGTGACTACCAGCCAAATGTCCCAAAATTCCAACCACTGAATTCAATTTAGGATTTTTAATATTATGTTCATGTCCCATTGTGCAAAAATCTTTTAACCCACATGATAACACTCTGGTAATAACTGTATTTGGAAAACAACTTCCAACGTGAGCCACTACCCAATCAAAATGAGGACTATGTAATACACTAGTATCTAACAATGCTTTAATACAAGATTCTGTATCTGAATGCATAAGACATTGAAGACATTGAGCTGTGATATCAATTAGAGTACGGGTAGCACAACAAGACATCCACTGTTGAAGGAAATCATTAATTCCAGCATTTACAGGTAAATTTCCACGTTTTGCATAATCTGTAGAAAGTTTACCTGTAATAAAATTAATATTTTTTATAACAATATGATCTGAAACATTTTAATGATTACATACCTAATAATTCTAATGACCATGCTGAAATAATTGGTGCCCATGCTTCGGGATTTCCATTAATAAAGTTACTTAAAACAACGTGAATTTCTGCTATTATAGTTTCTTCGCATATAGTTAAATTTTGATTCGTCTACATGATAACATATAATTTAATCAAAACTTTCAACTCAATCAGTTATTTTACGAATGTTGGGCGCAAATAAACTTACTTCGATTTGTCGAACATATTTGGTAACTGCGACAAAAAACACGTTGCAGAAATATTCGAGTACTGCATCTCTTGCAGCAGGAACATTTCGAAGTAAAGATAAAGCTGTTCTTGTTACATCGAGCGTACTTGTACTATGTGTTGGTCGAACTGCTCCAGAAATAAATTTTCTAACTTCTGCCAAAATATCTTGTGGCGATAATGTTCCCGTTGAATGTAACATCTTAATTTTAGTTCCTTTATGAATTGAGAATTATAATCACATTTTCAGTTTTTAGGGTTAAACGTAATCATAAGAGAAATTTATTGTAATAGAACTTGATGATTACGATATTCACGGTAATCATGTTTATTACTTTTATTATTTATATTATTATGCATTGGAAAAATTAAGAAGTTAAAAAATATAAATCTAAATAAATGAAAATACAATAAACTTAAAACGTAATGTACAATGTTGTCACTTTCTTCAAATAGCAATTCAACTTGTTGCCTGTAGATTGCGCATATTACTTCGACACATAAAACGATCGACTTTTCCCGAAATTTAAAATTTTTATGCAAAAAAGAATTACATTTTAAAAAATGTAGAATGTTGAGTATTAATCATAATTTTGTACAATATGTATATTAACATGAAAAAAAATAAGTGCTATAAATGTATATTTTATAAATCACTTTATGTGCTATTATGTTTTGGGCATGTTTTAAATCGTGATATTATATTTATTTATTTTGCAATTATTACTTTTTTTTGTAACAGCTTTCAGTAGATATAATTTTATGATGATAAAGGAATCTAGAGAAAAATGATTTTGTAATAATAAACGAATTTAAAAAAAATTTTATTTAAAAACATTCATTTTTTACAATTTTAAAACTTTTGACATTAAACAAATTACACAAAATGATGTGTAGATAAAATGCATAATTCCATTTTCATTAAACTTAAATACACTCTTCCAAAAAAAACTACACTTGATCTGTATTATTAAATATTTTTTAAGTGTTTAAAATATTATTAATGTATTTAACTTGTCAAACTTATGTATCTATCACATAATGTATCTATCATATAATAAAAGGTTTTACACCCATAAATTTGTGAATAAATAATAAAAAAAAAAATAATTTGGTGTAAAATATTTTTTAAGCAATAAATTATATAAATAGTAGTAGATAAAAGTAAACTTTTTATATGATGATAAAATGATTAAGTGATGTGTCTTTTGTGCTGTTTTATAGATGATTTAACGCCTTTTCTTCTTTTCTTGTTTTCGTGGTCTATGAGGTCTTCTTGGAGTAACTTGAGGACTATTTTCTGAACATTCCACATCACTTGGATCATCCTACAATTAGTTTACAACATAACACTACCTGTAAGTGAATTAAATTAATTACAAGAAATATTAAAATACCTTAAAAGCAGCTATACCATCAGAAGGACCTGCTTGATAAAATACTATTGCCAATAGACATACGACTTGAAATATTGCTCCAAGATATAAGCCAAACCTTAATAATTGTTCAAATAAGGTTTCTTCTGCTGGGAGTAAAAGACGTTTTAACTGTGGATCAGTATCTGCCATTTCAAAATACTAAAACAAAACAATATTCATACTCATAAGTAAAGATTGTCAAAACTAATCCAAAAATTACTTTTTCTTATTTTTTAATACAAAATGAATAATAAAGTACAAGAATAACAGTTATATTTAGTACTTTCAATGTATTTTTACATATCAAAAAAATATCTCATGATACAGGAATTAAATAAAATCTACTTTATTTTTAGTAAAATAGTAGTGCAAAAGTTTTTACTCCTTCGTATTTGTTTTATTCTCTGTTTTTTCTGTTCTACAATTTTTAAGCTATTAACATTTTTAAAGTATATGTAAAGTTTCTGCGTAAAAAATTTTTAAATTACGATTGTCATGTATAATATTATACATGATACTTCTCATGTAAATACTGTCGCAGGTTACATATTAAATATTATTTTTTCGAAACATATGTTATATATTTAGAAATCAATAATCTAAGCAACAGCAATCATAGAATTTTCGTCGCGTACACACTTGACAAATACTACCAACTTTCTCACTGACGTTTGTGTCAATAATTATTTAAATGTCAGTCGACTTTCATCAAGATATTGAAATAGGACTAACATTTAAAAAAAATTGAACGAAACGATCATATATCAATCAATTTATTAGCAAATATGTTGTATCATAATCAGCACAAGGTAAATCCTTTAATTTTATTTACTTTTTTAAATCATACAAAAGAGACGAACATAAAATACTTATTTCATTTCTCTTGAAGTTGGCAGCAGAAAGTTTATTCATATATTTCAAACCAGATGGCATTTTGAATTGAGGATTCGATTTAGGCGCCAGCTATCAGTAGTATTTGACATTAACATCACAAATTTATAACACAATAAGAGAAAGATATATTTTTAGTTTTTATAAACAATAATTAAAATGATAAGTCTACAAAGATTAGGCAATCTAGCTAAAGTTATAAATCAAATCTTATTGTACATTTATTGAAAATAAGTCTATATACTTTCGAATAATTGAAAATGGCGGGTTAATAGCAGCGCCGGAAGTTATCTGGGTTCGAGGCTTCATTGCTTGCGAGTCCGTGGATGTGAACCTTTGTTTTGTACAGAAGAATGGCTGCCATCTTTAGTTTTCGATGGATGTTTTCCGAAGAGATCGTGAATTCTCGTATTTATTGTGGTATTTAATAACGTAATAAAATCTCGAATAGTGAAATAACGTTTTCCGCGATGTAAAGAGTGTTTTTTCGTTTATTATTTAAGCTGCCCTGGTGTCAATTCCATTAAAAAATGCTTGTGTTTACATCCAAGTTTAAAGTGAGCTTCTGTATTCCTGTCATATTAAGGTAAGCAATACATTTTTATGAATTTTGATTACTCTAAATGATTAGAAAGTTGTAATTATAATGATAAGTATTAAAAATTCAATCGAACTGTTATACGAAAGACAGGTGTAATACTACATTCTGTTCGTATTATGAATCGTTTGTGACGTTCAAATTGTCTTAAATTTTGTGTTTTTTTTTACAAATTGCTATTGGAAATTTAAAATACTTTTATTATCGAGAAGTTTTTTACAATTTTATTGATATTTGCTATGTTTCACGACTTAGTACCATATTTCACTTAACCAAAAAAAAAAATTTCGACATCGCGAAACTTCGATTTCAGCATCTTAATTTGATTTCGATTGTATTTATTTGTTGTCTTTTTATAATACATCAAAGATGTAAAAGGTATTTGTTAGTTGCAATTTTTATTTCTAAATGGTGGCAACAATGGTTAGTAAAATGGTGAGTGAGTACAGGTCAACCACATCGTACACATACTACTTAAGTTGTTAAACTTACATGATTATTAACTTTCGAATAATATTTAAACATTCCTCCTGGACTTTTAAACATTTTCGTCACCTCTGTTTGAAGATTTTATAGAAATTCTTAGTTTCAAATATCTCATGTTTGTTGTAAATTGCAATTATTCAATTTATATTTTGCAACTTTGTGTTAAACAAGTTATTTTCGATTCTATTGGAATATATAATACTATTCATGTTTTTTACAAGTTATTATACTTGTTATCCTTTGAAACAACTATTGTATGAATACATAAGAAGAGATTGTATTCTTTGACCATTTTATCTAATAGATTTTATAATGATTAACAAATTTAAAATCTTATTTTGCAAATATATCTGTACAATTATTATAGAGTGTTTGTCAAAACTATAAAAAATAAGTAAATAAATAAATGAGAGAATTCTTTAAAATAAGTTGGAAATAACATGTTTACATATTCTTCAATGAATGAATAGTAACTTTAAAATTAATTTGTTTGTTAATATTATGTATGATCATGTAGTATGGTTTCGATGATATATATTTCATTTAACCAATATATTAATTAATAATAATTCATATACTATGCAAAACTCTTTAATAGTTTAATCATTATCAAATTTTACCAAGAAATACTGTCATTAAAACTTTACTAGTAATTATTAAATATACAGTATTTAATTTCATAAAGTTATTAAACTATATCTACCAGCTTAATATAATAAAATTTAGAAACATATAGGACTTGGTACATAATTCATAAATATTACTTAATGTTCTTAACCAAGCGAAGAAAGTTTGTATATTGAAAACTGTTTCACGGCGGGAATAGAAAAATCTGCCAGGCGGCGCTGGTTTCTCTACCAGGTAGCCATATTGTTAGTGCGCGCTCTCTTTTTCTCTCTCTCTCTCTCTCTCTCTCTTCCTCCTCTTCTCGTTCTTTGCACATGTATATATAGATGTGTATGTATGTACATATATCTTCCCTTCCTCCTACCTCTCCATTTACTTTCATCGACCCCACTCGTTCTCTTTTTTCTTGATCCTTTCGTGATCCCTTCCAATCCTACTCTTGTCTCTCCTATTTTCTCTCGCTGCCCACCTCCCTCCCTCTCTTCCGTGAAACTCTTCGCGTCTTTCTTTCCTGTCACGTTAAATTCGCCTCTGTATGTCTTACCTTGTATCTCGAGGATCCAAAATTGATCGATTTTCAGAAATACTTCTTTGATATCTATCTTTGTTTTAATTAATAATTCAACAATTTCCAGAGGGATACTAACTGCAAGTGCGAAAGTTTCGACGTATCTTATCGAATCAAATCTAGAATTTGTTACATCAAATTGTTATAGTAGCATCAGAATCGACAGGATTTCCTTACGATATAATTGATCTTTAAATGTCTATAAATCGTTAAAGACAATTTAAATCATTTTATTTGTCAGATTAAGCTATTTGCACGGGAAGTCTCTTAAAAGTGCTTGTTGTAAAATCAAATCTGGAATATTTATAATGGCGCATGAGTGTAGATATGGTGTTCGTGGGTGGTTGTCGGTAACCAGAGGCGTCGTCACGAATTTCCTCCACTAACCGATATCAATCGGTCGTAATTTTCTGCAGCTTTTTCTTATATTAAAAATTGCCTTTTTTTATTATTATTATTCGAAACTTATTGAAACATTTTTTTAATTAAAACAACATTTTTTTTTATAGGTGAAGGTTATGTCTTTAACAGGAGAAATTTTTGTATAGTTTGAGACTCAAATGTTTCAAAACACGATCGAATTGTTAAAGCAAATTGGAGCAAAATCAATCGAATGCGGACGGGAACAAAGTAGAGGTTTAAATGCTGGTATTCGAAATTTAGTTTGGTGGGGTACGCCTCTGGTGGTAGTATTTGCTGGCTACGAGGTGAAATCGTATCGACCGCAAGGGAAGTTCGCGCGCAGTGACGGGCACGCGCGACACATACATACTCGATTCACAAGAGAACTAGAAGAAAGCTGTTCAAAAGGATTCATCGTTCCTTCCAATATCTAGTTTCTGGTACCAAAACCAAAATCTACGATTCCAATCAATTTCTCCTTACTCTTATGATCTTTCACTTAGGCCAAATGGAGAAATGGAATGAATGTTATGGTCGGTGGAAGTAACATACTGATGCTACAAAAGTCGGTCAGGTGATAAAGTTTATGTTTCGGAAGCCGAAATAGCCATTCGAGACACAATAGTACGAACTCGACTCAAAATTGTTTCTTTGAATGTTTAAAAGTATTTAAAGGAATTTTGTAAGTATACTATTGGAAAAGTATGTTCTAGAAATACATAATTTGCAACTTTATACACAATATATCCGTATTACAAAGAAATTTTAAATAGTAATTCATAAATGATTTTTGCAGTTTGAGATTTAAGCTACTTCTATAAAATGCGTGAAACTCTGGGTGCGGCAACATTAATCAGTGTCGCCGCTTAATGTTTTAATTTATGACCTTACTATATGGCTTCCACCAACTGTACGCAAAGTTCAATTTTTTCTGTACTTGATGATTTATTCTTTTTAATCTGCTCCAATATTGGCAGGATATATCCAGGAATGTAGGTCGTACCGTGTAATAGCTCGACTATTGTTAGTTATTTTTTATATATAATGCAATGGTAAAAGACCAAAATGTTCAGGTTTGTTTGGATTTGTTGGTTCTATCTCTTCTCCGTGACTATTACCATTGGTCGACCCTACTGACGTCATCGAGAAAGGTCCAATAGGACGATGTCAGTGCGTATGCACACGACTATGCTGCAACCTTCTCGCGAAGGTGGAGGTGCATCATATTTGCATGGTCGAATTCGTGTCATCGTTGAGCAATAGTTAGGATAGATTATATTGATTGCCAGCAAATATTTGTTAATCAAACGAACCATTCATATGGTTCAGATAAATTCATTACATTTACCAAATTAAAAACAAATGTAATTTTTTCAAGGATATCTCGTTGATTGATCTTTGACCTTCGTTTTAATGGAGTATCGAAGGTAATCGTTTATGTTACGAATTGATCATTTCTATATCTCCCTGACAATTCAGTGTAAAGTTACAGCTGTATCATTGAAAGCTCTTGAAGAAGAAGTGGATTAGTAAAACCGTGTGTCAACCGATTTATGATAGTATCTTATCGTCTAATGATACAAGCGTAGCTTCAGAATCATCTAAAACAGATTTTTTGGCAAAAGTTTAATATAGATATGGGCACCTGGTTAATTCCGATGGAAAATCGAGCGCACCAGTAAGATCAGCGACGATTTCGCAAGATTTACGCCGCAAAGAACCGATGCATTTCTTCGGGATGACATCAGAGTGTATTAATGGTGCTTGCGGTTACTATGGGTACGACGTATTCACGATAAACGGAGGAGCGTGTATCGTGGCTAACTCTGCTGACGGAGAAGTACACACGTGCTGGGTCAACCATAAAATATATTTTACGGAACTGAACCGTTTTCAATTCTTTCTCGTCAAGTACATTGCGCTGCACAACAGTTCAAAAAAGAAAACAAAAATTCTATGATTGCTATTGCATAAATTTCTGGCTGTTACGATAAGACAATTCCGCACACACGAGTTTTATCTCGAGCGAAGTCAGAAAGACATGTTAATTCGTATTGTCCAATCGTAAATGCGAATAGTTTATGCGCAGAAAGGATTTTTTTTTGCGCGCGAGAAAAGCATTGTGTAATCGTAGAAGCGAGGCTATCAGTGAAAAAACAGATAAAAAGGGAGAATTTATAACTGTCCGGATTAGCGGTGCAACGAAATCCAATAAAATTTAGTCCGGTTTGGAGCAGGCTCGCAGACGCGAGGACAAGAGAGAAAGAGGAAAGAAGATGCACGCTTCTCAGTAACCTTGGTTGTAATAGCGGAGGTGCACAATGCTGGATCTTCGTTTCCCGTCCCCTCGTTCTTCCAACACTCCCACGTAACGCATAGAATGGCGTTACGTTTCGATTTTGTGACTAATGGAGGCCGTTTTCATTTTCCTCTGATATATTTTTTCCCATCGAAATTTATTACATTTGAGTGGAATATACACTGAATCCTGATTTGAATCTGAGACACTAGGGGTTGTTTATCGAGTAGTGGGATGTTTTCCAATCAGTTCAGCGTACTTCGGTCTTTCTTCACCGTGAGGTCGCATTCCTAAGTGATTAATCCACAGAACCGCAGCGCGGAGCTGTCTGCTACTGTAGCTGCCGGCAAGTAGAACGAAATTGTCCGCGACAGACCCTTCTAGCAATTCTAATACCCGTGGTGCACTCTTGTTGCGCATCTATATCGACTGCTCGTATAATGGAATTAATAAATTTAAACGATACGAATAGTTTCGATTTTCTTATTAAAAATTAAAAATTAAAAGGGAATGTTCATCGATGGCGTTGGAAAGTGTCCGTAAATAAAATTGCTATAAAGTTGTGAAACGTATTGCATTTTGTAAAATGTTGAAAGAATGAAGATC